CAAGTTGCCCTCGCACAAAAAGCTGGGCATCTTTAAGTTTATCTTTTCATTGTCGGATAAATTTTTTATAGTGTATGGTGCTTGATTCAAAATGTGTTTCACAAAGCTGTAATCACAAGTTCATGTGTGTATACTAAGGCACAGTTAATAGAAATAGGACTAAGGTAACCATGATCATTGAGGAAAGCGAAAGCCTTGGACACTTCCAATTAGAGGTGTGCATCGGATCGTCCGAAATTGTCTAATCCGAATCCGATCCGAGTTTTGATAAAGAATTCCAATCCGATCCGATCCGAAGAATTCTTTAATAAAATAAATTTCTCACTCAAGTTGAAATATTTAACTAAATAAATATAAAAGCAAGAAATACATGTCAAGAAGCTGACAAAGTGACGTCCAATTGAAGTATCAAACGAATAATGCAGCGAACACGGCGATGATACTTTGATAAATGCATGGATAATTAATTCTTGCGATAATGCGTGGATAATTAATTCATTTTATTTCGAATATCGAAGTCCGATCCGATCCGACTACGAAACAAACTTTATCAATCCGATCCGATATGAATATTTTGGTTCCGAAATCCGAACGAATCCGATCGGATTTGCACACCTCTACTTCAAATGCACCTTTGAGCCGAACATTCGAAGTCAGAATTCCAAAACAGGTAGAACCTAAGACAGGTACAAAATAAAGTAATTTTACTTACAGAGCTGCCCATGTGAGCTAATGAGAGCCTTGCTCTTTGAATTCTGTCTTTTCCAGGTGTATTGGTGAAATGTCTTGCAATATGTGAACAAAATTCCACTGATATACCTACGGCCTAGATTAAAAGAAATACTTCATCGTACTAGCTCATGATACAAGTTTGACGGCCAAGGCTTAACACACTGAAACACACAAAACGGTTACTAACCATCACAAGATTAACCAATGAGATAGCATTAAGAGGAATGTTCCACAAATACATCAAACCCATGATATCAGTGATAATCATTGCCACAGTAAATGTCACGATGAACGCAATCAGAACTTGGAATCCCATCAACAGGAACGTCATTGCAAAGATCGAAGCTGTAGAAAAAATAGTTGTATGTACAGACAATCAGTACAGGTATATTTCACAGACTAGAGCTTCTACACTAGTGACTAGAAGGCACTTGGAAATTACATACAGCACTTCCACAGCGAACTAAACGTATCATGCATAAATTATATACAATGAATAAATTATACAATGCGCTAATTATACATTCTTACCTAAACACACAACAAGATTGACCCAGGAGTCACGGACAATTGTCAGGTACTGTTCATAGTAGACGTAAAATATGCTGAAAACAAACAAAAATTCGGTGAGAGTAAGTTACACTATGGTTACAATGTAAATTGAAACTTTAGCTTTAACTAATTAACTTTCTACTGTATATATAGGACCAGTGTATATAGACCCATTGCACATGACGTCACAGCGCCGGTGACGATGCATCTGGAGGACAAATTAGCAATCTATGCACAATATAACTTTTGTAAACAAAACAAATTTTGTAAAACTTTATAATAATTTTGTATTGAAATGGTTAATTTTTGCGCTGTATGTGGTTGTTATACCCTAACAGATATTGTTAGGGAGCATCTGGAGGACACTCTAAGGATTTGTGACGTCAGTGGAATGGGTCTATACATTGAAAGTATCATCGATCATTTAAATCCAGTGCCGGACACCGGGAGGGAGGGCCGGATGCAAAACAGTTTAAAGAACTAAGTTATCCAGCAACAAAATGTGTCATACTGTATGTTGGCAACTCTACAGTAAGTGTCAACCTCTGGTTAAATCATCAAGCATTAAGACAATAAAAACATTTGGCCATTTATTCTCAATTCGGACTCAATTCTGCAATAACGAGAACTGCACTCTTCTAGTGTCGTTACCTGTATGCGAAAACATGGCTATCTGTTTTCTTTGACATTTCTTTGGCCAACTTTCTCGCTTCGCGTAAAGCATCGATGTAGTCTGCAGACGTTTTGAGAATTGTGTGATATCCCATGAAACGAGAAACTACAAAATGGGAAAATGAAATTGCAGTGTGCCTTACAAATTTTTGTACACCAAACTGGAATTGCAGTGCTTTACAAATTTTTGTACATTTGATAAATATGGCTCAGAACTTACTTTTCACTGGCACTGCAGAAGTGTTGGGATTTAATATTACTGCATCGGAATACGCTGCATGGCCACTAGAGATGGAAAGACATACATTATAGCATAGACAGATTTTCATGTTTTTTACTGGGGTGGTGCCAGAAATTTTAGGGGAGTGAGCCATGAGCAGGTGACTGAAGCAACACAAAGTGTCACCAAACCCCAGTAAGGTCTATATTCTAGGGGTGGAGCACTAGAGCCGCGAGGGGGAGTCTAGAGAGCAGAAAACAAAGTATCCCTGGAAAAATTTGAAAAAAATCATGATTTCTAGCTTTGAAAAACATTTTTTGAAGTTGTCATATCAATGGATTTGGCATGTCCGTTTGTCTGTTGAGACTTGAGAGAGTTAAAGTTAAATGAACCTGTAAAAGTGTAAACCCAATAGGCCAATACACAATATGCTTTTACTTTTATAAAATCATTGACATTGTGTCGTTTGAATCCGAGTACAATTTATGATGCAACTCCGATGTAAATAATATTTGGGACGTAAAGATTAAATCTAGGCAAGACTATTTCCTAAAAGAAAAACTTAAAAATAATGTTCGTAAAATTTCCAAACGTTCCTTGCAAGCAAGCTATTTGCAAGACAAGGCACTGCAAACTCTATTCAAAGGAGATAATAGAGTTTCAAAACTTTACAATTGGTCCAATAAACCAGTGAAT